CTCCTCCTCCTCTCTCCTCCTCCTCTCTCTCTCTCTCTCTCTCTCCTCCTCTCTCTCTCTCTCTGTGTGTGTTACTGGAATATTCTGCGTACTCTTGTTATTAATCACCGCATCGCGCTCGCTTCTTAATGATCGCTCGTCCGGCCTCGGGGCGCGAATATGCGCGCAGTACACACCAGCCCGGGCATTCCGAGCACTAAATATTATCAACGCGACGTTAATTACCCACCGGTTAACCAACTGCTACTCCACGATCGACCGGAAGCCGAGGGCTTGATCCTTGATGATTTGGAAGCCATTGATCAAGGCAACAAAATCGCCTCTCTTCTTCTCGGAAATTATGTGTCAAGATGAAAGAGAAGAGCATAGCGAATATGCTGAACGATTTATCTTGACGTTTTAAAAACTTTTAATTTGATCTCAGTCGAGAATTGTTTATTTAAACAAATAAACTGATACATCTCAATACGGATAATGACGTAATCAATATAATAACGTTTAAGCAGGATAAAAAAAAATATATAGAATGAATTTGCGTTTATGATTGTCTTTACATTATTATTGATTATTGCAATCAGTTCGGCCGTTACATCGGTCAATTCGCGAAAATTGGATGTACCATGTTTGTTAATGTTGCTAGTAATTGATTCACAACATCAAATTATCGGTGTCTGGATGATCACCTACGATTGGACTGACAGCATAAATACAACGACCTTCGCATCATTATTGATTTTGATATAGCGTTATTTCATCAAACAGCTGAGCGGCTCAATTTTCGTTGTCGACATAATTATGATGTGATCGTTTGCGCGTTATTAAAAGACCGATCTTTAAAATCTTCATATTTGTAACGTTATTTTTATCCACCGAGGTTGGTAGGTCAAATTATCAAACCGTTTCTTTACTTTAGAAAATTGCCTCATACAGTTGCTTGACGAGAGAGGGTCATACATACATGTATGTGCTCGAAAAATATTTCTTTCAACGGTGATTTCAACGAAAATCTTCCACTAGGAAAAACGAGCTTGAATTTCTGGAACGTTTGTACGTCGGAAGTGACATTGAAATTGAAACTTGTAGAAATTATTATAATTAACGTAACAAACGATCTAACATCCCTTTTCGAGAACTCGAGAAAATTGAGCTCGATAATATCGAGCGAACAAGAAACGTGGAACAATTTTCTCGGAGTTCTTTCGAGGAAGTCGATCGAAGACCAATATTATTGCACCCTTCGAAACCGAATTGTACCGTTCAACCTCCGCTTCTGTAACGTGGCGCGCTTTTAAAGAGAGATCCGAGAATGAACCGCGGTGTCGGCGCGGTGAAAGTCGTAAACTACATTTCGCGAATCTGTGCCACGTCCGAGCGCGTTTTGCGGCCTGTCCGCGCTCGGAAAGGGCCGACAGGGTAGTACAGAGTCGTTACCCCTAACCTTACGAAAATTCGCGCAGTGTGGTGACGCGACGCGACATAACGGGACGGGACCGCGCGCGGGGGAAGTGGGCGGAAAGGGGGGGAAAGGGGGTGGGGCCGTGTCGCATGCATGAAACATTCGCGACGCACACACGCGAAAGTAACACGCTATACACAGCACACCTAACATGAGCGATCGGTCTGATCTGACAGATCGTTGCCTGTCCCCAGGAGGCATACTCCAGCCTATGGCTACAGCCAACCGGACTACAGGCTCCACGAGTTGAACAAGAGGTTATCGCAGCGCACCGAGGTGAGTACACTTTCGAATTCATTTCTCTTTTCTCCTCGTTTCTACCTGTGTGTGTGTGTGTGTATTGTCACGTGTATGTGACGTTCGGGAGTCGAGCGGATTCTTTATCCTTCTTTCGGTCCTTCATCCGCTCTCACGCTCGTACGAGCGTGCCCGTTCGATGGGCGATCGATTCGATAAATTATTCGCGAAACGAATCTCCCGATTGACGAGCGTCTTAAAATCAGTCTTGAAAAACGGAGTAAAAAGTTAAACGAAGTTAGACGTCAAAATCGGATACGCTTGATATGATGTAATTATATCATTCTTGATTAAATTAAAAATCTTGTCGGTCGCGAAGCCGGAAGTAGCTAATGAACTACAATTATTATATGATGGTTTAGCCAATTTTCCGATTATCGTGAACAAAAGGGACATGTTTTGTTCGATAAAACCTGGAAAATAAATATCCCTTTGAAAGGATAAAAAAAAATATATTCGCGGTACCAAAATGGTCAACGCGACGAAATTTACAGTATGCTTAATCGAACGCACTATTTATCGCAATTCGAGACGTCGTTATTTTGACAAAGGTTATTGCACGCCGTTTTGTTTAATCGCGTTTTGCTAAATCGCTCGCAATTTTCATTTGCTTCTGGCGTTTGTGTTGCGAAAACGCTTACATGAATTTAAAGTCAATGTTTTTACATTTCTATTATATTTATGTGAAGAATACAACGAGAGAAATTCCAAGTATCATATTCTCGCGTTTTGACAAAATTATTTAAAAAAAAAGAATCCGTATAAACGCGCGGAGCGATTAACAAATGAAAGCGAATACGAATAAACATATTGTTTTGATTAAATTTTATACGTCCTTCGTCTTCAGTAAAGTTACAAGATGAATGACGAGTTATTTACGCGGAAAATATAGTGCGGTATGAAAATTCGTTCTCTAAAGGTTCGCTCGATTTTTTGTTACATTATAAAATTATCTGGCCCATATACCGCCGGCAAATAAACCGACCTCTTCTGAGAGATTCACGATAATGGTGATAAGATATGATCCAGGGAACACATTGTTGTCGGCGCACATGTCGTTCTATTCGTTCGGTCGATTTCAAACCGTCGAAGATTAATCGAGACTACGTGCAAAAGAAAGCTGCATTATCACCACATCGCGTGTCGAAAAGCCTATCTTTGACTCTTGCGGATGTTTAAAAAAAAATAAAATACATGAAAATTAATTTACGTTTATATATACGTTGTTACAATTAATATGTTCGTAGAATGACATAATCGAAAAGGATAAATATCCTTAATGACGAGTAATTGCAATTAGCTAATTGCAATTAGCTTTTATTTAATGGTTTTAATAATTTTAAGATATATGAGATATTTTTTATAATATGATTAAAAATTCTTTAGCATTTTTAGTGAAATCAAATATATGATTCTGAAATAATGATTCTGAATGCAAATCGTGAGATTTTGTCATCGCTATCTATGTGCGTATTCATAAGTGTCCGTGTCACATACACACGTGCATATTGAAGACTATTTCCCCATCAACGATGCGCAATTTACGACAGGCAGCGGTGGTCATATATCCCATTTTGAAGGTTTGATACTTCGCGGTGTAGTGGTCAATATGTCATTAGGATTGAGTAATGCGGGAGAAAAAAAAAGAAAAGCGCCCGGGGTTAATGCGTTCTAATGAGCCTCCGCTCCTAATACCGCGTCCATTAATCTTCAAGTCGCGAATGGACAACCGGTCTTCTTCCCTGGGAGGTCTCGATAAGCGGCCCGAATAAATTCCTTGGTTTCTGTCGTTAGCGTCGCATAAGAGGAGCGGCGGGAGCAAAGTGGCGAGCTGTCAGCGTCTCTCGAGATTGTACGCGTGCCAACACGAAAAAGTTCACCGTGCGTGTTTAACTCTTGTTTGACCATTTTTTTGAAGCATTCTCGCGACGAGCACTTACATCTTCTTAAATTCTTACTTTTTTAATTTGTAATTTCGTTGTAGATATTATTGGTCAATTAAAATAAATATCCGAGTGAGTTTCTTATCACATTGTAACGCTTTTCGACATATTTTAACCCGTCACCCGTCAGTTTTAAAGTTTTCATAAATTGCATATTTTAACGGATAAAATTTCTTAATCTCTTTTCGTGCATCTCATTAAGGGATACATAATATATATTTTTGAAGATGAGGAAGCAGAAAAATTGTGTTTTCCAATATTTTCAATTATTATGGAAATATCTCTTCCGCTGTTCTTCTCGCAAACGCATAAGTCACCTTGCTCCGCCACGTTTGGAAAACGTACCTGCGAGAACGCGGTTCGTAATGAAAGGAGATATTTTTTTCTACGTTTTTGGCTACGTTTCGTATATACCACAACAATCATCTCGGCGAGCGCAGAGCTATTCGGGAAATTTTGTTTTTCTCTCTTTGGTCATTCTCACGCGAAGCGCACAGGGGACTGGGCGTTGTGCGAATTATATTTCGCTGGTACAAGCATATATGAGAGCGAGCGAAAGAGTAAAAGCGAGAGAGAGCAAGAACCAAGAGAGAGAGAGAGAGAGAGAGGAGGGAGGGGGGCGGGTGGGGAGGGAGAGAGAGAGAGAGAGAAGAAAATGGGAAGGGGAGGAGGGAGGGAGGGAGCACACATGTCAATATATACGCATGTATACATGTGGACCGCATCGATCGGTTACGACGGGAGAAAGAAAAGGTCAGAATCGAACCGGCATATTGCAATTGCTTTTACTTATGCATACTCGGACTATATATTCTGCGTACTCGACCTAAATTCACGTTTAAGCCGTCAACGTAAGTGACTACCAGCATTTCTTCCTTCCTTTTTCTTACAAAGAGAAATTCACCTTTCTTATTTATTTTTACGTTTCACCGATCCTCCTCGAAGCGAACGCCGATTTTATTCCACGCATATTATGCGATCAAGCGATTGAAGAATGGTTCGCGTTCAACGAGCAAAACGAAGTCGCGTGGCGCGCCCCCGATAGATCAAAGCGCGAGATAAATTCTTCGTTAAAAAAAAAAAAAAAAATTCACGTACACTATATCGGGATATTAATACACGCGTGAAAGTGGCGCCTTTCGGTGATAGTACCGGTGTGCCGCATGGCGGTTAAAACGAGCGCAAAGAGAGTTAACGTGTCCGCTTGTATAAGCGCGCATTTACATCACCTTTTAATACCACCGCGGCGCGTTTCAACAAGCCAATCGAACACTCTTGCACGCAGCTCCAGTTTTATTTCACGAATCGTGCCGGCGGCGACTTCGAATGAGAAGCGTAAAAAAAGCGTTTTCCACCGCGACGGTGTAACCGAAGCGTCATTACGCCGCAGCCATCGGCCAAAGATTGCAAGCCGCGCGCAATCTTTTTGCCGGAACGAACCGCCGGTGATCGTTTTTGCAGTAAACGCGTTGTTTAATTGTAAACCGGAGGCTGCGGTCAAACGCGTCTGTTGTGGAAAATTGCAGGAAAATACATATGATGGACGCGCGCAGTGTTTTAAACTCGAGGACCACAGCGCGAATGTTGCCGAAAAAAAGTCCGTTTTCAAAGAAGCTTGTCGACATTTAAAAAATACTTCGCGATTAAATGTAACAAGTTATCGAAATAAAGAATACAATTTTTTCGATTTTTGACGAGTGTACCGAGATTAAAAGAGGGAAGAAATATATATGAATTTTTCTTGAAAATATCGCGGACTTTGTTTGATCTAGCACGCAATCACGCTGAACGTCCTCGTAAACTGCAATTGTAATGACCGTCGCACGATGCCCATGCATTTTAATCTGTGCGTACCATGAGAACAGATGTGTGTACAAAACACTTTCAAATACGATTGTGTAAAGTTGAAAACAAAGTGTGAAGCGTCGCAAAGACAACGATCCGAATTTCAATGTTACAATCCTTTCAAATGCAACGGACGTTTTAGCATCATTTTACCTCCTTCTCCTCGCTTCATCTCGATCACGCTTGGATGACGTGGGGGTATTCTAAAATTAAACAAAATTCAATTTTTCGATTAATCGGATATCGAGTTTTCTTAAAGGAAGAATTTTAATTGAGTCGGGAAATTTAATTTTCTCTTTCGTTCTTTTTGATATGCAGAATTCGGCATCTTGAATTAAATTTCTGTCTAAGAAAAGTTCACTTGAAATTTGAAATTTTTTTTGAAGTATTTGTTCAATTTTAATTGGGGAAAACAAATCTTCTTGTTTATGAATAGGTAACTTAATTCGTTAGGAGGTTCTCTTTATATATAACTTGAACTTACGAACGATTGCGCGTGTGTGATAAAAGGTTGATTCCGGTTGGTCATCGCGCAACAATTCTATTTTTTACGTGCAACACAGTTCTGTATTTCTAACTTGTTATTCCGTCACACAACTTGTTTATTTTGTTTTGTTACAACTTTCTTACAACATACACATTGTTATCTGCCTTTCTTTTTCTTTAGTAGTTTTTCTTCGTATTTTTATTATTCGTCGTGTATACTCGTATATCATGTA